CTTCCTGGAGTGGGAATACCTCCTCCTCCCCCTCTTCCTGGACTGGGAATACCTCCTCCCCCCCCTCTTCCTGGACTGGGAATACCTCCTCCCCCTCCCCTGCCAGGTATGGGGATTCCATCTGTTCCCACTCCCCCTCCCACTTCTGGATCAGGCATCCCCCCACCCCCTCTGCTTCCTGGATTAGGCCCTCCACTCCCCCCTCAGGTTGGAAGTAGCACTTTATCAGCACCGCAAGTGTGTGGCTTTCTTCCTCCTCCGTTGCCAGCTGGCTTGTTTGGATTAGGGGTGAACCAAGACAGAGGGAGTAGGAAGCAGCCCGTGGAGCCTTGCCGGCCCATGAAGCCTCTGTATTGGACGAGAATTCAACTGCATAGTAAAAGGTAACATGAATTGGCGCTCATTTTTGCACAGTTTGTCAATATGAGGGAGCATTTGCCTTTAAAACTCTCGGGAAAGTTACAATTTAATGTATTTTTAAGTACTGTTCTGAAACTTGTCCGTAGGTTTTTTTACATGAATATTTAGTGAAGCATCTGTTATTTAAAAGTTTAGACTTTTCTCCAGGAGGATCAGAGGTATAAAGCAAATGACATATGTATATCAATGAATAAGATGTAGAGATATCTGTATAGTTCCTGATCAATCTTGGAAAAATGGAGGGATATAGTTTTCTTAGCATACATGCTCTGTTGTCTCGTTCCAGAACCTCACTCTGACAAATAGCTTATAAATAGACATCAAATTGAGGATATTTTCTTGCATCCTTTTGAAGGCACAGTCTTGTTTTACTATTTCATTTTGTTTACAATAGTCTTTCTTTTCCAAGATGTGCTCCACATGCCCTGTGTGAAATAGTTTTGAGAATTTCCTGGCATTTCTATAGATAAACGGTGACACAATGTGAAGTCATAAAATCATACTTGGGAATGATATTTATAAAAGAACACTTCCCACTAGGTATGCTGGTGGCATATTACTTATCCATGCATAGTCCATAGCTGATGTCCCCTGATCCCGGGGACAGTGCTATGACGCATGGCTGAGGGATGTCCCAGCAGGGGACAAAACATGCTCTTTAAACTTCACTGGACTTCCTTGTTGAATATTTGAATTTTTTTTTTATATGATGTGGCATGCATTTAGAATAGGATATTTACCAGGCCTCCTTCTCATCTGTTACACTAATTTTCTCTTCATTGAATCACATGAGGGGAGAAGAATCAATATAGTTCGATTACTTCTAACTTTGCAGCTCATTCTTTGTATAATTGCCATGTCACTTATATATACTGATGCATCCTTTCAAACCATGCGCTAAACTCATTTTATCCAGATACATTATATGAAGTTATTTTATTTTGTTGTTCCTTTGCTTTAAAAAAAAATAGATATACTCTTTTTTAGGTGGCATGACACGAATCTGCAGTCTGGAGTCAGATAACAGTGGGGTGAAGGGAAGTGGTAGAGAGATGGAGGATGCCACCTTGGATCATAAAATAATTCCTTTTTTAAACCCTTCCATAATCCACAAAGCTGATGAGTCAAGTTGGAATTGTGAGATATCAGACATTTCCTGCCTTTATAGCTTATACTGAGAGGGGTTTTTCTTCTATGTTTCTATACAGTGACTTGATAACTAGGAATTCCTGGAAATTATTTTTTCTAGACAAAGGTTTCATTTTGTATTGATGGTATTTTAACTTTCTCATCAAGTTGATGAAACAAGTGGCAGTCTTAAAAAAAAAAAAGAGTATTCTTTCTTCCTGTTGCCTTCCTGTTGCCCTCCTTCCCCCCTTTTGCCTCGTCTTCCCTTCCTTCCATACTTCCTTCCTTCCTGACTTCCTCTCATCCTTTTTTTCTCTCTTGCCCTTCTTTCCTTCTGTTCTTCATTTTCGTTTATGCTCACATTGATATCTTAAAGTTTGGTTTGATGGCTGTTTCATTGGTCTTTTGCTTAACTTTAGAGACTCCAGTGCTTCACTTATTTGGGAAAAAATTGAAGAGCCATCCATAGATTGTCATGAATTTGAGGAATTATTTTCTAAAACTGCTGTGAAGGAGAGGAAAAAACCTATTTCTGACACCATCACAAAGACCAAGGCTAAACAAGTGAGTACTTGTGTGTTCCTTGAAATTGGACAGTATTTTGAACTTTGAAATGACCTTTCATTAGAAAAAAGAATGGGGATGGCTGGGTGGCTCAGTCAGTCAAGCATCTGCCTTTGGCTTGGGTCATGATCCCAGAGTCCTGGATCAAGTCCAGCATCGGGCTCCTTGCTCTGCAGCGAGCCTGCTTCTCCCTTCCCCTCTGCCTGCCACTCCTCTTGCTTGTTCTCTCTCTCTGACAAATAAATAAAATCTTTAAAAAAAAAAAAAAGAATGAAATTGTTTTCTGGGCTGTGTAACCTCCATAGTCCTTAATCAGATAGTAGAGGTTAGAATTTTAGGACATGTGGCTAAGTAAGACCATCCCAAATAGAACAACAAATAATTGTCTCTACTAAGTGATAATGTCCTGATGATTTTATCTGTAGCCTCATGATACATATTTCCAGAATTTTAGCTATTGCTTGTTTCCAGAATTAGTTGTCTAGAAATAACCTGTCAATTGATTGAAATTCATCTGAGAACTAGTATGGATGAAAAGAAAGGTAAAAGTGGGCAAAGAAAAATAAGTAAGAAGTCCAGTCGTTAGTTATCTATAATGTGTTTGGTATTTTGTGGAACTGGACACCTTTAGAATCCAGCTAAACAATCACACCGTATTTGACATATGGAAGAGTCTTTTTTTTATTTTTTTTTTTTATGACATATGGAAGAGTCTTACATCTAGTATCAACATCTCTATTCTGTGTTAGATCAAAGGATCTATCTTTGGACACCTGAGTTAGAAAAAGAATAGTGCATTTGGAGAAAAACAGTAGTGCATTTGGAGAAAATCTTTTGCAAGCAACATTTCCCAACTGATCCACCCAGTGGACTTGATCATGAAATGATATTGTAGATTTCTCAAAGGTGTCATTCAGGGAAGTATAGTAACACTCCTCAATAATGAGCTCCAGATAGAAGGTATTACTATTGGTGTCCATCTTTCACCCTGAAATGGGGAGTAGCTACATTTCTTAATTCTGCTGGGTGGGTGAAAAAGTGCATGGAAGTAGGAGAATGGTGGGCAGCTCAGTCTTGGGGGGCAGTGAGAGAGATAAATGAGACCCCAAGTTCCCTGTATTCTCCTGGACTGTTCTTCCCAGATGAGTGGTAACCAATGGAATTTTTGCCTCTGACCTGGAAGTTGTAGCTAGAAGTATGACCCAGAGTTGTTCCCATTGATATTTATTTCAGAGCAGACACCTCCCATCATATGGATACTGACAAATCCAGCCAGGGAAGGATGGATTTGAATGGCACAGCTAGACCCCTCAAACCTCTAGTTGAGTGGATATGCAGCTCACCCCAGGCATTTCTATTATTCTGAAAATGATGCAAACCTAAACGTTATGCAGTTGAATTTTTCAGAATCATTTATTGTAGTAAAGCTGGCCCCTGGTGACCTTAGGTCAGGGACTATGGTAAATTGGACAGTACCTGGCATATTGTAGGCACTGAATAAAATTTCGTTTAAAAGTAAACCAGCTGACTGAGGGAGGAGGACTATGCCTAGTAATGTCATTGACTGTGTCTGGTAATGATTAAAGACCAGAAAATCCTTCATCTCATAATAAGTCAGTATGGCCAAGGTGGCAGTGCTAAGGCAAATAACGGTAAATGGAAAGCCACATTTTCTCTGGCAGTTATAAATATTTAAAAAAAAATCTTTTGCACGGTACATTTGCATCTAGCGCACTTAGTCTGAATCCTACCTCTTCTCATGGACTGTGTCAGAGATGGGAAAACCGGGCAAGGAATATGGGCAGAGAGTACATATATCAAGGCTGTCTAGCAGCCAGGATTGTCACTTGACAAATGGGCAGATGTGACATAGGATGTCTCTCGTCTAGGGATGAAATGATCAGAGAGGCAAATGACGCCTTCCTCATCTTCCATTACCACTTTTTTCTGTTGAGTGAACACAGATAAGGAAGGTGCTTCTTATGTTATCAGTTACCAGTTACCAGGATTTCATGACTTATTTGACATAATATTCAGTTTTTAGCTTACTGAAATAAGATTTATGTTTAAATCATCAAAACTTGAAATTCAACTAGTTGGCCATCAGATGGCCTCTTTGCACATGAACAGTTCATCTCTACTGAACATCATCTCAGCATGCTCACCTTACTCTGGCAGTAAGACATTTTATAAACTATGGGTAAGAGACTTTGCCAATGTCATAGTTAGCACTTATGGATGGTGATGCTACTGTTGACTTTCAACTTCAAACAAGGTTAATGGAAGAGATTCCATCATGACTCCTGACAAGCTTGTTCTGCATCTCCTTGGCCTGGCTCTTGGTAGTGAGCTCTGCACTTCAGGTCTGGTTTTGGAGGGATGAGATTTTTGTTTCTTTTCTTTCTTTTTTCTGTATGTTGGAGAGAGAAGAATCTGCGAAGTGATATATTGCTGAAGAAACCTATTTTTATTTAACTTTGTTGCATTTGGAAGAAAAATCTATTTATTCCATCTACTTGAGACATTTATAATTTTGTTTAAGGAAAATATATTTTCAGGATGCATGCAAATAGTTCCCCTTTTTATGGGAAATGTATACTGATTGTATGTGCAGACATTTTGGTACCTCATGATTCATGTCCAGTGAAATGAATAGCCTTTAATGCTCTGGCATGTGTTTATGGAGGTATTTCAAGCAATTCTTCTTATATACAATGGAAGCTAGAAGTTCTGTTTTTCTTTAAATATTTAAAAATAGCCAAATAATTTTTCTGTGATCTGTCTTCTTCTTGAAAGTAAGACTGTGGTCAAATGCACTGGTATTTAATGAGGTGCCTGTGCTGTTTTTACTCTTTCAGAAGAGACATTTTCAGCGTGATAATAGAAGATTCTTCCGCTGGGCACATTGCCGTTTGGCTTGAGGAGAAAGAGGGTTACTCTCTGGACACCTAGTCTAGTAGTAATGATGGGTATCTTGTATTTCTAAACCCCCTTTCCTCAAGGAACCTAAAATGAAGCATTTCTTATTTTTTTCATGGAATATATATATTTCTGTGATGACTTCTTAGTCTATATTTTAAAGTATTTAAAACATAAGGAGATTAGCTGAGACGGTAAATGTGTGATTTGGTGTTGTTCTTAACCAAATGAGTGTGACACTTCTACATCAACCTGCTAACTTAACAACAATAACCCTGTTTTGTAAGGAATCAGGAGGAAAATAGAAAAACCAGTTTTTTATGAGACCTGTGTTTAAGTGCTGATATGCATACATACTTGCCCATTATTAAGGAATGCTCTAGAACTAGTAAACATTTAGCCCAATCTCTTCTCTGTTGCTGGGGTAATCCAGGAATATTGATGTTGATAACGATCTTAAGTCACCTCAGGATCTCCTGTGTTCCACTAAAGGTTGAGTTTAACCTGAGTTTATGAGCAGAAAAGTGAGAATTGATAGAGCTGCCTCACAAGGAAGTTTCTAGTTAACCCTGTGTCAGATGAGGTCATAAACAAATATATTTTGGTAAACATGGCAACAGTTGTAGTAGTCGCAACAGCAATAGTAATAATTGTGCTAATTATGACAAAAAGAACCCTGGAAACCACAAGGCATACTGTCCTTTATTGACCACATGCCAGTCATTGTTTTTAGCATTCTACTTATACTAACTCATCTAGAATCCTCCTCATCCTATGAGGTAGACCTCATTATCACCAGTATATAGTACAGAAAACTGAGTTGTAGAGGGGTTAAATAATGTTTCAGGCTAGTAAGGGGCCAAGCTCAGGTTCAAACTCCAGCCATCTGGCTCTAGAGCCCGAGCTCTTGATCATTAAGTAAAAAGTATGGATGTGAAGTATTTTATGTAAGCATGAGTATACTATTTTATTTATCTGGAGACCAGAATAGATACTTGTAGAAAATAATTTGAATTTGTATTGATTTTCATATATATGCTCAATCTTTAAATGACTAGTTACATTTATGAAATTGTATGTGAAGATAGTTTTAAAGCGTCTTCCATATTCTAACAGATTTTGACAAGTACATAAACTATGATGCCACTAAACATGACATTTGCTCAGTTAAATAAAAGTTTATCTGAGAGATGTGAACTTGAGGCACATAAGCTTCCGTAAACAGTAAGGATGAGGGTCACTTGCTTGCGTTGGCATGTAAGTTCTGGTTGGAGGTTATAGCCACAGTGGTTAAACCTCACCAAATGTCAAGTGATGATACTTTTGATTCATTCCATGACACAAAAAGGAGCCATCTTTATAAAATACGCCTTAAGTAAATAAAGTCTAATCATACTTAAAAAGTCTGTAAAAAAACATGCTCCCCACAATGTAAATTTACACACAGAAGTTAACAAGAGTGAATAAGAAGAATCTGTGTTATTTTTTAAATAAACTGACATTTGTATAGCCACTTAATGCAACACAAATGAATCTCTTTCTGGGTTTCTTCTATTTATCAGATTAAAATGCTCTGCCCAGAGAATGGGAGAGAAAAACAAGTCATGATAGTTAAATATTTGTTGGGCTTTTCGCCTCTGGAAATATGATTAGAAAAATAGATAGTTAAATCTGCTACTTATTATAAGGGGAGGTAGTAACAGGATTTGTTAGAATTCCCATTTAATACAGATATAAATGTTAAGGAATTAGACATTTGGTATCCTGTTCAATATTTCTATTGTGTTTGCTGACCTAACCTCTAAAAACGCTGTTTTTGTGTGTATTGTAAAAGCCCATAATGACGGGAAAGGAAGCATTCATTATTCAGATGTTCCTATATGGAAGTGTATAATGTAATGCTTCTTTTTTTGTGTGTGTGTGTTATGTTAATCACCATACATTACATCATTAGTTTTTGATGTAGTGTTCACGCAAACAAGGAATCATGGAACATGACATGGAATAATGTAATGCTTCTAAGCATTCTTACATGAAATAGTAATTGCCGTTATAAGGCATTGGGAAATTGTGTGTGCTAT